CTCCGCCTAGGACCCCCCCCCCCCCCCCTGCTGCTCGCGTATGAGTCGCATGCAGCGCTGCTCTGCGAGAGGGCTGGCGGGGAAAGTGGGCTGTGGGGGCGCGCGCTGCCGCTGGGGCCCACGCCGCTCTCCGCGTCCTGCGCTGACTGCGCTCGCCCTTGTCGACGTGTGTTTTGTCGTTTGAGTTTGAATATAATGCAAAATCACGGGAAAATCACGGGGGGGGCAGCGTGGCCCGACCCGCGCGACGGCCCCCTGCGCGGCCCTGGCCAGTGGCCTGCGGCTGGCCTGCGCTAGCCGCTAGCTGCCGCCTGCGGCGCCCGGGTCGCGGGTGTGCGGGTGGGGCTGGGGGGGCTCTGGGGGAGCGCGGGGGCCCTTGGGTACATCTCTCCGCTCGCTACCTCACACGCTCCGCCGTCGTCCGGCCATGGATGGTTCGATGGAGCTCGGGCGAGCTCCATCGAACCATCCAACTCCGGTCACCGGGTCTGAAGCGCGCTCAGCCTCAGGAGGTACCAAAGCGCGCGAATTCTGCATGCCTCGCTGCACCGCTGGCTTGACTGAATCAGGCAGCAGCAGGCTGCTGCTGGTGCTGCTGCCACAGCAGTCTGCTGCGGCCCTAATACGCAAGTTAATGACTAGCAGCACTGCCGGGGGCATACGAGCCGCCACAGCCGGTGTGCGGCCGTGCACTGCCACCTGCCCGCGCTACGCACAATGTGCGCTCGCATTGGATGAGCCCTGCTGATGGACCTGCGTCGCCTAGCTGCACACGAGAGCAATGCCGCAGGCGGCGGCCGTGGCATACACTGCGAGCACACTCGGTGCAGCTGCGAGGTGCAGCGGAAGAGCACGTCGTTCCTGCCTCTGACGCCACTCTCGCGGCTTGCAGCGCGTCACTCGCGCATGCTCTCCAGGAGCTATGGCGGGCGCGTGTGTGGGGGGCTGTGTAGAGCCTGTGTTTGGCCGCGCGGCGTTCTGACCCGTTTACTATCAGTATCATGCCCGGGCCACAAAAAATCGCACACGGGTAGCGGCTCAGGGGCCCAGTAACTCGCGGAATCGCCAAATGTCACAACCTGCGCCACCCAGGGCTGGACCTAGTCACTCGTAGGTCCTCACATCCGCCTTCTATCCGGGGCCGGGGGAGCTAACCGCTAAGAAGCGCACCCAGCGGGCCGGATGATCGGGATCCGGGCTCGCGAGCAAAGCTAATCCTAGCGGGACGCCGGGACCTCATTCGACCGGACGCGGACACTCGACACGACGCACAGAGCTCAGAGCCGCGTTACCCGTCAGCGGACACGAGTGCACGGGACGTACTACAGACTCAAGACAGACCACACACCCGACGCCGCGCGCTGGCGTCGGACCTGTGTGGCTCGGCTTGCTTTGGAGCTCTCAGAGCTCCACATGCCGCGCGCGTCGATCCCTTTCAATCTTCCCTCAGGCGTAGGCGGGGCCCGCCGCTGTTTGCGTCGCCTGCGAGGATGCGAGCTCCTGGTCGAAGCGGAACTCTCTCTGCCTTAGGTCAGCCTGCTTTGCTGCCTTGCTCTTGTGCCGCCGCCAGAGGCAGCAGCCCGCGATGGCGACGAGCATCAACACGAGGAAACCGATGACGCCACCAGACTCGGCCGGATGCTCCCTCACAAACTCCTCGCCGCCGGCCACCACCTGCCCGATCCCATCGGCGATGATGCCCAGGCCAGACGGCGGCGAGGAGGGCGGTGCCGGCGGTGGCGCCGGCGGTGAGGGCGGCGTCGAGGGTGGCGGGGGCGTGGGAGGAGAGGGCGGCGGAGCCGACGGCGGCGGCGGAGGTGGCGGCGCCGCAGGCGACGGCGGGAGCGGCGGGAGTGGCGGAGGCGCCGGGTCCGCGATGCAGCAGCCGGTGCAGTTGCAGCCGAGATTGGCGTGGGTCATCCCGCACGACTGGATGGCGGCGAAGGTCGCGCAAGTGGCGGCGGGGCTGATGCTCGTGGGACAGGGCTGCGCGCACTCGGGGGCTGCCGTAGGCGGGAACGGTGGTGGCATCAACGCATGCGGCGGCGCGGTCGGCGAGGGCGAGGCATCGGGCAATGGTGAGGGCAAGGCGTCGGGCGATGGCGACGGTGAGGCATCTGGAGAGGGCGACGGCGACGCTTCCGAAGACTCTAGCTGATGCAAGCAGGCTTCCACCGCCGCATCCCACTCACAATGAAGGTTGGCCGCCGTGGCGCAGTCGCTCTCGGTGCCGAGCTCTTCGCAGTGCTCCTCGTGATGCAGGCACGCGACCTTTGGGGGGGCGGGGGGGGGGGGGGGGGTCCAGCTGTTGTGAGCCGCGAGCGAAGGCAGGCTCACAGGTTATTGGCCGTCTGGTTCCGTGGCAGTGCTAGGCTGCGCCATTCTACGCTGCGGGATCTGCCGTACGAAGGTTTCTCTACATGGCCAGACCTCGTCCTCATGCCACTCGCAGTGCAGCGTGGGGTCGGAGGCGGCGCATTCCGCCTCGGAGCCCAGGTCATCGCAGTGCATCGACGCCGTTGGCAGAGGGCTGGGCAGCGGCGACGGTGATGCATCGGGCAGCGGCGCAAGCGAGGAATCGGGCGACGGTGAGGGCGATACCAACGCCGCCGAGCCCTCCTCCCTGCAGAGGGGGATGTCGCAGTCCTGGGAAGAAAAACCTCACCTCAAGTCGCAGTTCTGGGGCGGCGGTGAGGTTTTGCGTGCATACAATCTCACAGAGTCGTGTATGGCTGCTTCACTGAATGCACCGAGTGCACCAAGCGTGGGCCGCGGGCCAGCGTCAGAGAACGGAGATAGCAGATTCCTTACAGCAGCTAGGTCACGCTCCTCCCAACGCACATCGGGGTCGGTGGTGTAGCACCACGCCGTGGGCTCACTGCGGTCTGGGTTGCGGCAAAAGTTGTGCTCCTCGATTCCAGCCGCAGGGTACACCTCCTCTGTCACGTGCGTGTGATTGTGCGGCACATGCTCGCTCCACAGCTGACAGGTCAGCCCGCTCTTGGTGATGCTCACGTTGCCACGGTAGTCGCATGCGTCGGCGGCGCTGCCGAGCAGACGGCAGTTGCTGACAGTGGTTGACGCCGGGCAGGGCGGCGGCGGGTCTCCAAGCGCTCGCATGTGGCCGGGAACGTAGGTACGAGGCTGCCGCCTTCGTGGCCAAACTTTTACTGCGTTGTGATTTCTTGGGACGTCGCGAGCGACTGTTTGTTGTGAACGGCTGGTAGCATGGGGTGGCGGCGGCGGCATGGGCGATGGTGGCGATGGTGCGGGTGGCGATGGGAGAGGGCCGCCGCGGGCCTCCCCCAGCCCCGCGGGCGCCGCGTTCTTTTGACGGGCAACGTTCGAAGGCTTGGCCATGCACCCGAGCCAGCGAGTGACCGCCTCCACTGGACGGCCGACTACCAGAACCTTTGGCGCTAAGAGCTCGTATTAGACTTCCCGAAAGCCGGCACAGAATGCGGTTTCCCAGCGCTGCCACCGCCCTGCTGTCGCTGCTGCCCGCGCGGGCAGATGCGTGCGCCGAGGTCGTCCTCACCGGCCGAGTCGGAAACTACACCACCGGCGCCATTCCAGCAGAGGGTGGCCCGAACGCGAACGCCACCCTCTGCATCGACGGATCGACCGTGCGTGTTATCAAGACCGATGTGACACAACAGACGACACATACTTTATATTCTCCCACCCGCCGGGACGCAAAACGCTCTCGACGAGAGCCACAAAGAAGGCGTCCACACAGCAAGCCGCTCGGTCGATCACGTGGCTCGCTCGATGCCGGCGGGAGCGCATGGCGCAGCGCGCACGCCTTGGACGGTGGCGAAGCCAAAAACACCGATGGTGGCCGTCCGCTGGCGTGAGCGGCGGATAGCCTTGATCCCGCGCCGTCGGTGGGCTGCTACAGTACGGGACACGGGTACGGCTTTCCGGCCGGCATCGGCCCCTGCATGCTTGTCGGCTGCGGTAGCCGTCAGCCGCCGCGCTCTGGGGCGACCTCCAGCTGCTCGGGATCGAGAAGCGAGACGACAAGGGCAACGTCACCGGCACCCGCCCCATCGGCATCCCTGCAGCCATCCGCCGCCTCGCCAACCGGGTCCTCATGAAACACCGCAGCTCTGACATGTGCGACCTGCTCACCGGCCGCACCGCCGACTCGCGCCGCCTCATCGTCGACGACATGCGCGAAATCTGCCGCCGCCCGCTCGCGGAAGGCGGCCTGGGCATGTCGGAGGAGGAGGCGGAGGCGCGTGTCAAGGCCTGCAACGTCCCTCTACAGGTTGGCGTGGGGCTTGCACAGGCGGCGCCGAGGTCGCCGTGCAGCTTCTGTCAGAGCACCTGCGGCGCAACCCGGGCCACGCCGTCGCCTCGGACGACAAGAAGTCAAGAACGGCTTCAACTCCATCTCACGAGAGGCCATCTTCGCTGGCCTGCGTCGCTGGTACCCCGAGCTCATCCCCACGGTGGCGCTGTGGTACAAGGTCCCGCGCCGCCTCTTCCTCTTCAACGAGGAGGCGCGAGACGGCGACGGCAACGTCTTCATGTCGGCCGAGGGATGCGCGCAGGGGGACCCGCTCGGACCGTTCCTCTTCGCCATCGGCTACCACTGGACGCTGCTCGAGATGCAGGTGTGCAACCCGTCCGCCTGCTGGGAATGGGGACCAGCCCTCCATGGATGACACCTACGTCGCGGACGCGCCGAGGCCCGCGCTCGAGGCGATGCTCGAAGGCGACGCCCTCGCTCAGAAGTGGAGCGGGGTGAAGAGCAACGTCAGCAAGCGTCAGATCTGGGCTCCCGACCCCGCGTCGCTCGAGGCGGTGCGCGACTACCCGAGCGTGAGGGGCACGCCGGCGGCGCCTCCCGATGGCAAGTACGCGGGCGGCACCCTGCGAGGCATCCGGGTGCTCGGGGCGTACCTCGGCGACGACGAATGGCGGAAGACGGAGCTCGTGGCGAGAGTCGAGAGGGCGCTCAAACCGCTCGAGGGCATCCTCAAGCTGCGCGACAAGAAGGAGATCCACACGGCGCAGCAGGTGACGCAGGTCCTGCTGCGCTTCTGCAGCAACACGACGCTCACCTTCTTCCTTCGCGCCATGCCGCCGTCGGTCACCCTCCCGGCCGCTGAGAGGCACGACGAGCTGATATTGACACGGCGCTATACAAGCTCGTCGGCGGGGCGCGGGTCGGCGCCGCCGGCACGTGCTGGGAGCGCGCGCGTGCAAGCAGGCGCGCCTGCCCGTCAAGATGGGCGGCATGGGCCTCACCAGCGCCGTCGACATCCGCGAGCCGGCGTGGATTGGCACGTGGGCGCTCGTCGCCGGGCCCATGCGCCAGCTGCATGCTCCTTTCCGCGACCTCGACGTGAGCAAGGCGCCGGGCTCCGATTTCGACGAGCTGCGGGCGCGGCGCCGCTGCCGATCGCATCGTTGGGCAACGGGCCGCTGCGCGACCCGTGGGCCGACCCCGCCACCGCCTTTGCGGCGGCGCCGCGCCAGCCCGCCGCGCCCGCGCCGCTCGGCATCGGCGGCGCCGCGACGCTGTGACGACGGCGTTGCCGCTGCCTGGCTTTGGCCCCTCTAGCGTGTGGAGGTAGTAGTGATGCCACAGCGGGGCGGGCGAGGCTATCGGCCCGCAGTGCGAGGGTCGCTTAGTGCGAGCCCTCGCACCGCGGCTTCGCCTCGCTCGGCCACGCACTGGCGCGCAGACGCGGGCTTGTTCCTCCCCTGTGCCCCGAGAGTGTCTAGCGCCTCGTCATGTGTGAAGAAGCGTGCCGGCAATGTTTTACCGCCCGGCCACATTTTTGTTGTAACGGATTTAATATTGCAATTTGCGGAACGCACGTCGCGGTCATGCAAATCGCGCACTCCACCCGCCGAGCACCGCGCCGGCTGCAGCCAGCTCGGCCGCGGGCCCGGGTTCGCCCCCCCGCCCCCCCCCCCCCCCCCCGCTCTGACCTCCACCGACGTCTCAAACAAACAGCGACAACGCCCACGCACACATCTCAGTGCATGATGACCCTCCGGCGAGCGTGTCCTCGACGGAAGCTCCCAAGCTTCACCCAGAGAGAGAGTCCGCAGGGTGGTGGCCACGCGCTTCTTCTGAGCAGCTCGCGCTATGAGCGCTGGGCCGCCTCCGCTGCCATCCTGGCCGCGGTCGCCCTGGCCATCGCAGCGGCTGCAGCAGCACGCCGCGCCTCTGCAGCGGCCGCCGCCTCCTCGAGGGCCGCCTCGCGCCCCTCACGCGCCGCCGTGGCCTCCTCCATCGCCGCCTTGGCCTCGTCCAGCGCCGCCCTGGCCTCCGCCTGCGCCGCCCTGGACTCCGCCCGTGCAGCCTCGGCCACAGCCAGCGCCGCCACGGCCGCCGCCTCGGCCTCCTGCTCCGCCTCCGCCTCCTCCTCCGCCTCGTCCGCCTCAGCGTCCAAGCGTGCCGCTTCGGCCACCTCGGCCGACGCCGCGGCCTGGCTCTCCGCCATGATGCCGAACCGCATCCTCTCCTCGGTGAGCGTCTCGAGAAGCCGGAGGATCCTCGCCTCCTCGGCCTTCTTCGCCGCCTCGGCTGCGTCTGCCTCCGACGGCGCCTCGATGCCCTCCTCGGGCTCCTGCGACGGCCCCGTCCTGCCCGCCCCGCCGCCCTTCTTCTTCTTCTTCTTCTTGCCCTTCTTGCCCTTGGCGCGCTTCTCCGCCTCGACCTCCGCCAGCAGCTCCTCAGCGTGCCGCGCCGCCTCCTTCTCCTCCGCCGCCCTCTGCGCCGCCCTCTCCGCCGCGCCCGCGGCCCACGCCGCCTCCGCCGCCGCCTTCTCCGCCGCCTTCTCCGCCGCCGCATGCTCCGCGAGGGCGCGCACGCACTCGGTGTGGCCCTGCTTCTTGGCAAGCTGCACGACCATCTGCTTCTTGGCACGACCATCTGCACTGCACAGCGTCACGTCTGCGCCCGCCCGCAGCAGGCAGAGAAGGGCGGCGGGGTGGCCGTGGTAAGCGGCCAAACTCAGTGCGGTGTAGCCGTTGTTGGACTGAAGATTGATCTCCGCGCCGTGCTGCAACGCCAACTCGACCAGCTTCTCGCGGCCATTCGCGGCGGCGAGACTTAGCGCGGTGGCGCCACTGCTGGTCTGCAACAAGACATCCGCGCCGCGCTGGAGCAGCGCCTCGGCCAGCCCCTCGCGGCCACGCGTCATTGCGAGCAAAAGCAGCGTCATGCCGCTCACAGGGCCGCTCGAAAAGACGTACTCGAACGCCGCGTCGACCCGCCCGCCACCGTCGAGCCACGCCAGCACAACCGCCTCGTCGCCGTCCTCAGCCGCGTCCACAACCTCCTCTGGCACCGCACCGCCGCTGCTCGGCTTGGCCTCCGCGCCTCCCTCGCCGCTCGAAGCAGAGGCCGCGGCACTCGCACCCGCCGCGCCTGCGCCGCCTGCCTCGGCCGACGGCGCCTTGCTCCGGCGCGCAGCCACCTCCCCGAGGTACGTCTTGAAGGCCTGGACGCACTCGGCGTGGCCCTTCTCCTTGGCCAACTGCAGCGCCGTCGCGCCCGCCGCATCGCGCAACGTCATGTCCGCGCCCGCCCGAAGAAGGCGGAGCACGACGGCGGGGCGGCCGTAGAAAGTGGCGATAATCAGTGCGGTGCCACCGTTCTTGTCTTGCAGGTCGATCTCCGCGCCACGCCGCAGCAGCAGATCGACCACCCGCTCGTGGCCGTAGCTGGCGGCGTACATCAGCGCGGTGCCACCGAAGCTGTTCTGCAGGTTGATCTCCGCTCCGTGCTGCAGCAGCAAGTCCACCATTCGCTCGCGGCCGCCGTTGGCTGCAGTGTTCAGCGCAGTGGTGCCGCAACTGGTTTGCAGGTTGATGTCTGCGCCACGATTCAGGAGGAGCTCGACAATCTGCGCGTGCCCGTTCCGTGCGGCGAACATCAGCAGGGTGCATGGAATCTTACCGCCGCCGCCCTCACCTTCAGCATCGAAGAGAGTGTCGGCCTTCCCGCCTTCATTCAGCCACGATCGCACTGTTCCCAAGCGGCCGTCTTTCACCGCCTTGAGGACGTTCTTCGGGAATTCACCACCCGGCGCGCTGTCAGCAGACGGCGGCGACGGCGGCGTGCGGCGCGCGGCGTTGGCGCGGGAGCGCGAGGCGGGCATGAGGGTATCTCCCACCACTTTTTGTGTGTGTGGAGAAATTTCCCTTCTCCTTACCTCTACCCCGTGGTGGTGTGCCTATCCCTGTGTGGTGGCGGCGTGCCGTTCTCCCATCCCTCCCTTGGGTTGCCTGTTTTCTTTCTTTCTTTCTTTCTGGTGGTGTGCCGGCTCGCCCTCGCGCGCGGCGGCTGTCGCCGGGACGCTGCCGCCGGGACGCTGTCGGTGGGCGTCCTTCCCCGCGGGCCGCGCTCACGCGGCGGGCACCGCGTCGGGCTTCATCGCCGTGCGCAGGCGCGTGCACGCCTCCTCGCACGCCTCGCGCGGCGCAAACGCGGAGAGGCGGAGGAAGCCCTCGCCGCCGGGGCCGAACCCGGCGCCCGGGATGGTCACGACCTGCGCCTCCTCGAGAATCTTGGAGAACATGTCCCACGAGGGCTTGCCCTCGAGGTCGACAAAGACGTACGGCGCGTCCGTCCCGCCGTGCACCTTGAGGCCGATGTCAAGCATCGTCTGCCGCAGCATCGCCGCGTTCTCCATGTAGTAGTCGATGAGCACCTGCGCAGCCGCCGTCTTCCGCGGTCAGCCCCGGTCGACCTCGCCTCTAGAGTCCGGCTATAGCTCGCCTGGATCTCGGCGAGTCCGTCCTTGTCGAGGCACGCCATCGCGCCCGACTGCACCACGTTCGAGGCGCCTACAAAAAAGAAAGCACGTCGCGCCCGCACCTAAAACAGAACAAAACCGGCGCGCAGCACGCTCGAGTCGCCGTTGAAGACGGTGCACATGATGCGGTTGAAATCGGCGGCGACGGAGGAGCCGTCGGCCCAGACGAGCTCCTTTGGCACGACGGTCCAGCCCAGCCGCACGCCCGTGAAGCCGGCGTACTTTGAGAAGGAGTTGACCTCGATCGCGCACGTGCGCGCGCCTAATGAGGCGAGGGAGGAGCAGCCGCAGTGAGAGGGAGGCGAGCGCGGGGAGTCGCGAGCGCGGGGCGAGCGGCAGCGTGAGGCGGGCTGGGCTGGCGGCGGCGGAGAGAGAGGAGGCAATGGCAGTGGAGGCGAGGGGGGGGGGGGTGCGAGGGAGGGGGGGTGGTGTGGAATGGGTGGAATGGCGGGGGGGGGGGCAGCGGAGGCGTTGGCGTGGTGGCATCGCGGCCCTCAATCTCGAAGATTGACTTGGGCACGTCGGCGGAGCGGATGAAGGGCGCGTACGCGGCGTCGAAGACGAGGATCGAGCCCTACAAAAGAAGCACCCGACGTAGGGCGGCGGGGAGGGCGGCGGCTGGGAAGAGGGTGGCGGCGGCGAGGGTGGAGGAGGGGAGGGTGGCGGCACGCCTGCTTGTTGCACCAGTCGACGAGCTGCTGCAGCTGCTCGCGGGAGGCCGCGGCGCCCGTCGGGTTGTTTGGCGAGCAAAAGTAGACCACGTCCGCGCGAGGCGTGGAGGAGAGGTCGGGGAAGAAGTTGTTGGACGGGCTGCAGGGCCTGCGGACACGGAGCTGGTCGACGGCGTCAGGGCGGTACGGTCTCGTGCCGCGTACTCGGAGCAGCGCGTGAACACACGGGGTGCGAGTGTGCAGTGCGCACGGCGGAGCACCGCCAACTGCGTGTCCTCTCGAGAAAGGAAGGCCAGCGTCCCGTGATCTCGGGTGATCTCGGGTGATCTCGGGTGATCTCGAGGTGATCTCGAGGTGATCTCGAGGTGATCTTGTGCGATCTCGTGCGAGCTCTCGTGCGAGCTCGGTTGATCTCGTGTTCGGCGAGTCGGGAAGGCCAGAGAAGGCGTCTTCCGCCCCCCGCTCATCTAGAGAGAGAGAGAGAGAGGGCATCTAGGCTGGCAGTGCATGTACACGATGTTGCCGTACTGCTTGCTCGTGGCGTCCATCTCCGCCGTCTGGGCGGCGGCGGAGGGAGGTGCCGCTCAGAGGCGGCGTCTCGGCGAGAGGGCGACGAGGCGCCACGTCTCGAGCGCCGGTGGGCGGTGGGCGGACGCTGCAGCGCAGCTGCGGCGTGGACTTGTGACGATCGACCTGTGACGATGGCGTCTCGTGGGCAGTGGGAGCGGACCTGGCCCATGATGACGGAGGTGTCGACGTAGACGGGGTACGACGGGTCCTGCACGGCGCTCGTCACGCCCGAGCCAAACATCATCTGCAGCCGGCCGATGTCGCACTTTGAGCCGTCCGAGACAAAGACCTCCGCCGCGTCGACTTTGCCGTCGTAGAGAGCAGACGCGATCTTCTCGCGGAGGGGCCCCATCCCCTGCTCGGCGCCGTAGCCAGAGTAGCCCTCCTTGGTGCCTGCGCCGCGTGCAGACAGCCGCGGCGGCCCGGCTTGAGTGGTGCGGCTGGCGCAGGCGCGAGGCGGCGGAGCGAGCGGGCCGGAGAGTGCAGATGAGAGCAGAGGAGGCGCGGGGGCGGCGGCAGGAGCATGTCGCGTGCCGCGCGCGCTCGTGCGTCAAGGACCGCGCCCCTGCGCGGGGCGCGCGGGAATCGCGGCTCGCGCGCGCTCACCAAGTTTGGAGGCGCCGGCGACGAGGCCAGAGAGGATGTGCGACGGCACCGGCTGCGTCGTGTCGCCGATCCCGAGCGAGATGATGTTGGCGTCCGGGTTGGCGGCGAGGTACGCGCTCCGCCGCCGCCCAATCTCGGGGAATAGGTAGCCCGCCTGGCAGGCGCGAGGCGGGCGTGAGGCTCTCTCTTCGGCCGCGCGAGGAGGCGACGGGCGTATGCGGACCTGCAGCTTGCCAAAGTTGGCATTGCGAGCCACGCCGCTCATCTGCACGCCGGCGCGCTCCGCGCCGACCGCAGGGCGGGAGGGCGCAGCAAAGGCGGTCGCTGCGATCGCGAGAGAGGCTGCCATCGGAGGTGCACGATGCCGACAGCAGCTGATCTCGAGCAAGCAGCGGGACCCGGACTTGAGCACTTGAGCACTGGATAGGGTCGATTCCGCGTGGTACGGGATCCCTCGATCGTCCTCGCTAGTGTATTGGGGAAGGGGGGGGGGGGGGGGTCATAACAAACACATCCCAAGAAAGAATGACGGCATGACGGGGACGCGCCGGTGCTACGGCGGCGGCGGCGGCGGCCGTCGAAAAGGCCAGGCGGCAGACGGCAGCGGCCACGGGTCGAGGGTCGTGCGTGATGCGGCCCACCCACAGGCCGGCCTCCTGCGGCATCACTGTGGTACGAAAGAGCCACGCTGCGGGGGCCAGAGAGGAGAGACGCGACGCGTCCGCAAGAAAAATATGGAGGTCAGGGGCATAAAAATGATCAGCACTCAGCCTTCCCTCCCCCTCCCGGATGGAAGTACTACCTGAGCTCGACCGTGCTTAACTTCGCTGTTCAGATGGGAAGCGGTGACCCACGGTGATATGGCCGATCATGGAAGAGAAGCGCGAACGGTTAACTATGAAGGTCCGGCGGGTAAAAAAATATTGATTAAATTATTTGAAGATTTGATTGGGAAATTCTTTTTAAAGTTAATTATGCTGGTTGGATACTAGGCATCGGTCTATGGCTCAGATGGCCCGGGGGACCTTAATCACGAACCCTGCTCCTCCGTTTAAGGCGTTTTGAAATTGGTGCACTCGCCACTCGCGAATCGCGGGCTCGCTGGTCCGAGGTCCCGATTCGCTTGAAGCGGTAAACAAAGTAATACTATGTGTACGTAATTATTTGAAACGAATCGCCGATCAAAACGAAACACGTCTAATCACCTCATTGAGCCGGGACCCGCCACGCCGGGCTCCGAGAAAGACGGCGAGCTGCAGCCTCGCCTCGACGAGGGTGATATCACGGGGGGGCGCCTCGCTGCACGCGCAGCTGCGGAACCCAGCGCTGGCCCCGAACTCGGGCAAGGTCATGCCAAGGTTGCCTAATTACCGGGCCCGCGCACGGCCCATCGATTAGATCGGCGTCCGACGCCTCGAAGCAAACACGCCAAGGTGTTTCGCATATTTGCTCACGCCCTCCTCAATCTTGATCCGGGGCCGCCAGTCCAACTCGGCGGCGGCTCTGGTGAGGTCCATCTTGCCCACTAAAGGGTCCGGTGCAGCCGCATGCTGCCGCTCCACGGCGCATCCTAAAGACTCGACGGCCTGCTCAACCTCTTGATGCGCCACGTACTCACCACTCACATTCACAGCCATCCCTGCAAAGGGGTCCGGCCGGACCGCTGCCGAGATGAGGGCAGTGGCGGCATCATCGACATAGATGTAGTTGCGAGCGTGCGCTGGGTCGAGGCTGGAAGGCTCCCCTTGGAGCAAGCCCCGGACGTCACACCCGGTGGTCCTGCCAGGCCCGTACACCCATCCGAGTCGTAGGCTGACGGTGTCCACCAGGCCCTCCGCCGCGTATGCCCTACAAAGCTGCTCGCCGGCTATCTTGGAGGCGGCGTAAGTGTCCACTGCGTTCACCGGACTCTCCTCGCACAGCCGGGTGGGCTCTGCGGGGTCCCCAGGCAGCGGGCAGTAGACCCACACACTGGAAGCAAATACGACCCGCCTCGCGCCCGCCGCCCGGGCCGCCTCGAGCACGTTCATGGTGCCGATGACGTTGGTAGCGGCCACGCAGCCCGCATCCACCGGGGGTTCGAACACGCAGCCGGGACCAGAGACGCCGCCCAGATGCACCACCGCGTCGCAGTCGCGGCAAGCCTCCCGCAGCGCCGCGGCGTCCGCCAGGTCGCACTGCACGTAGTTGCCGTCCTGGCTGGGCGGCCGGTCGCACCGGCGCAGAGCGATGCCCTGCGCCTCCAGCTGGTCGCACACCCGCTGGCCGACCAGCCCTGTAGCGCCCGTGATTAAAAGCTGCGGCCTCGTCGACAGGGCGCGGGAGAGGCGCAAGGAGCGCAGCAAACCCGGCCGGCGAAGCATTTTGTGCAGCCTGCTCGTGCGAGGAGCCAAGACGCAACTGATTCAAGCATTTAGGGCGCGACGGAAAAGAATTTAAACAACGCGACTCTCTCTCACAGCACACAGGCTCGACACAGGTGCGAACTGGCGCGTGCTAGTACTATCACCGGCACACCACCGGAGCCGCCTAAGCGACTCCGTTAAGAACGGCAATGCACTTAGCTCCGTGCACAATGCCGCTGTCCCCGCACGCTAGCTCGTTCACCGTCTGCCATGTAGCGCCTGCGCACGTATCGCGGCCCTGCCAGGGACTGCGGGGACGGTGGAACGCCAGGGAGCGACGCAAGCTCGCAATGCACAATCGTGCCACTGTAGCCAAACGAGTTGACCCCACCCACGTACTTGGGCGCGCACTCGGGCGCTGACGGCATCTTACTCAGTGAAGTCGGCAGCGAGCAGCTTGCTCCATCGATGCTAAACTGCGCCGGCACCTCGCTCATCAGCCCGAGGAACCTGGACCACTTGACCACCCACAGCGCGATGATGGAAGGCGCTTGCGGCAGCAGCGTCGCCTGGAAGGTGAGCGTCCCCTCGGCGAGGCCAATCAGCCCGATGCCCATCGCCTGGATGCGCGCGTTCACGGACGCATCGGCCGCCATGCCCACATCGGCCCAGGGGCCCCACTGCACCGACGAGGCGATTAGGCCGCGCATGCGCCTGGCGCCTCCGAGCGAGTCGAGGGTGGTATTGGCGGCGGCGTAGTTGGACTGGGCCGTCGCGCCGAGGAGGGCAGCGATGGAGGAAAAGAGCACGCATGCGTCGAGCGGCGAGGCCAAAGTGGCCGCGTGCAGTGCCCAGCCACCAAACGCCTTTGGCGCGAAGACGCGCTTCACGGTGGCGGCCGTCTGCGCACGCAGCAGCCCGTCCGACAGCACGCCCGCCGCGTGCCACACGCCCGCCATCGCGGTGCCTCTGCCCAAGATGCGACCGACTAGTCGAGCCGTGTCCGCCGGCTCTGCCGCGTCGCACTTGGCCACGCTGAAGTCGCACCTCGCCAACTTCTTCAGCCTCTCGCCCTCGACGGCAGCCACCCTTCCGCCTCGGGCCGCGAGCACGACTGACGCAGCGCCGCGCTCGCCGAGCCACCTGCCCGTGACGAGGCCGAGGCCGCCCGTGCCGCCCGAGAGCAAATGGGCCCCTCGCGGCGGCATCGGCGCCGCCTTCGGGATGCGAACCACCACCTTGCCCGTGTTGGTGCCGCCCTGCAGCGTGCGAAAGGCAGCATGCAGCCCCCGCTCCATCTCGAAGGTCTGCAGCGGCAGGCCGTGCAGAACGTTGCCCGCGGCGCGCGCTGAGAGGATCTGAAGCGTGCTCGTCATCCAAGTTGGCGCCTGCTCGATGGTCGAGTCGAGCGCGATCGCCACGTACCGAGACAGGGACGCCGACGCGAGCCGCTCGTAGCTCCACACCGCCCGCTTGCCGATCTCGCACAGCCAGCCGTCCTGCCGCAGCAGGGAGAAGGAGCACGCGATGAAGTCCGCCGACAGGCTGTTGAGCGTGAAGCGCAGCCGAGCTGCGCCGAGCAGCCTCGACGCGCCGAGCGCGAAGGCGCCTCCGTCGCGGGAGCTGACGGTGCGGCCGGCGAGGCCCATGCGATGCAGGTAGAAGTGCTTGTACGGCCGCCCGACGCTGGCCGTGACACGGGCGCCAAGCCAGTGCGAGTACTCCCCTGCGGCAAGGCCGACGCCGCCCGCGCCGGCATGCAGCAGCACGCCGTGCCCAGCCGCCGGCCTCGCCGCGAGAAGTGACATGTGGACGGTGCACCACGTCGTCGGCAGCGTGCACGCCTGCTCGAACGAGAGCGACTCGTCGATCGATGCAGCGAGGCGGCCGTCAGTGCGTGCGACTGACGCGAGGGAGCCCGTGGCCGCATGGCCGAGCACAGCGTCGCCGATCTGCAGGTGCGCAAAGGTGCCGCTGAGGGCGGCGACCGTCGCAGCGCAGTCAGACCCAGGAGGCCCAGGGTCGCCGGGGTAGGCCCCGAGCACGTTGAGCACGTCGCGAAAGTTGAGGCCGACCGCACGCACGCTCAGATCTGCCTGTCGATGCTCGAGCGCAGGCATCTCGTCCTGCGGCGCGATACGGAGATTGCTGATTGCGCCGCGAGCGTCGAAGTGCAGCCGGATTGGCCCTGTGTTCGACAAGGCCGCCTCAGCGAGGCGCGGCACGCGACGGAGCCTTTTGCCCACGGCCACCTCGACCTCGATCTGCTCGCCACTCCAGGTGCTGCATATCCCTAGCGCAAGCGCCTCCTCGACAGATGTGTGACTGGCTGCGGAGACGTCGATGCTCGAGATGCGAGCCGACGGCTGCTCCGACCGGACGGTGCGCGCCAGGCCCATCAGGCCGCCGTGCGCTGGGCGCGCGGCTGTCGTGGTGGTTGCGTATTGCGTCCCCGCGGTGAGCAGAAAGGCCGAGATGGGCCGCGAGCTAAGCTGCTGCTTGACGATGTCAAAGGCGACATCGAGGGCGGGGAGCACGCCGGTGCCGGGAGGACTGCCCAGCGGCAGCGAGAACAGAAGAAGACTCCGCGACGCGTGCGAGGTATCGGCCACGCCGTGCTCGCCGGATCGCTCGCCGAGGTTGGCCTCGCTGCCAGTCAACGCAAGCGAGGCGGCGTGGTCGTCGCAAGCGGCGGCGTCCTGCGCCTCCCACTGAGTGACATACATGTGCTGCTGCCGCGTCGCCCGGACCGCTCTGAGGCATCGGCCGGTCGCCCACGCCCAGCCTGGCTCGATCGACGCGCAGGATGACCGTCTCCTCGGCGCGGCCGCAGCAGTAGAGGCAGTTCTCGGCGAGCCCGAACACCGGAGCCCACGCCCGCGGGTCGAAGCCGCAAGCGGCGAAGCGCGCCGAGAAGTCCTGGATCGTCTGAGCGCGGATCGGCTCGGCGCCATTCATCGCGATGAGCCAGTGCGAGAGCGACAGCTTCGAGAGCGCGTCGCCCTTGATGCGGCGCACACACAATGCGTACCCAAAGTTGGGCGCCGTGCACCAGACCAGGTGCGTCGCCTTGAGGCGCGTAAACATCTGCAGCCAGACCAGCGGCCGCTGCAAGAAGGTGAAGGGCGAGGTCAGGTCGGCGCGCCAGCCGCGCACCGCAGCAGCGAGGCAGCCGCCGATCAGGCCCATATCGTGGTACTGCGGCAGCCACGAGCAGACGCCGACCCGCTCCACGCCGACCGAGCCCATCTCGGCGTGGCAGAGCCGCATCTGCGCGATCGCGTCGACGTTGGCGAGCACGTTGCGCGTGCCGACCATCACGCCCTTTGGGTGGCCGGTTGAGCCGGAGGTGTACTGCAGGAAGGCAACCTCGCCCGGGTCGGCGGGCCCGCACCGGCTCACCAGCCAGGCCGCGAGCCACGCCTCGTCTCGCGCTGCCACCGGCGTCGCAGCGGCGCCGTCCGTCGCCTGCCACTTCCACTCCGCCGGCCAGCGGCACTCTGCATCGCGCACCGCCATGCTGCAGAGCCACTGCGCCCGGAGGTACATCTTCGTGGAGAGGAAGAGGACCGGCTCGCACGACTGCGCGATGCGCGCCAGCTTCTGCAGCCCGTCCGCCAGCAGCTTCTTGGAGCCGGCGGATGGCATCGGCGAGGCGGGCACGATCGGCGGATCTTCACGGGGGGGATTCGTACGTCCTCCTCGGATGAGTTCTTGCTCTCGTTGCCGTACTAAAACTGTAGTACGTGCGCCGGTAAACAGGTGTGAAGCCAGTCCATGTCCGTGATTAGCGAACTCGCGAGACAAAAAAGTTACGCACGCACAACCGTCAACCAACTCCCTCCCCCCTCCCTCCCTCGCATCGCACGACGGGGGAGAAAGAAAGTTAGGGATATCCCAGCTCGCGCCTGCCTGCCTGCTTGCCTGCCTGTTCGAGGGTATACCTGGGAAATACCCGGTATTTTGCCGAATTCTCCGATTTTTGTCAGATTTTGCTCAGTGGTAAATCTTACCACCGTTTGATTGTTTTGGCCGTAGAGTGTTTGATTGTTCTGGTGGGCTATACCAGTAAATGGCAAGCACTGCCCCCCCCCCCCCCCCTCTGGGGGGCGCGGGGGCCCCCGGAGCGGCACCGCGCGCCGCGCAGCAGGCATGTTGTGCGAGTATATGGGCCAAAAGCGTCGAAAATGTCCCAAAAAGCGTGTCTCGAGTTTGTGGCAGCTCCGCAGCCTGCGCGGGCTGCCAGGACGCACCGCTCGCGCGTTCGGCACACTCGGTGGACCCCACCGAGTGTGCCGAACCAACGGGAGTGAGTAGGCTCGACGCCGCGCTTGCTGTGGAGCTGCCACAAACTCGCCGCCGAATGTGCCACCGACGGCGTCCCGGCGGAGGTGATGGAGTGTGAGACCTGAGGCTGCGGAGGTGACGCCTGAGGTACCGGCCCGTGTACGGCGACTCAGCCGGCGACCGCCACGGGCTCAGACGAGACTTGTCGACGCGTTCCGGCTCAGCTTCACCGTGGTCATCGGGCGTCTGTCGACGTCAGGACCACCCATACAGCTCGCGGGTTTGAGGTCGCAAGAGCCAAGATGGTGGCGTTTGGACATCCCAACCATCACACAAGACAGCCTGTAGGTGATGGCGGGACGGCGCAGTGTTTGTGGCACTCGGCAGTAGGCACCCGCGGCACAGCCCCGCGGTCGGCTGCTCTCGCGGGCTGCGGAACCGGCCCCAGAAGGGGACGGTCCGGGCGAGTGTGGCAGCTCCTGCGCTAGTATGGGCACCCTCTATCACAACACTACTGATCCTGGCCATTAGAGCTGCCAGGGATAGCGTCAGGAGCTGGTAGGAGTCAAAACCCCTCATATTTGAGACATCGTGGCCCATATACTCGCACAACGAGCCGCCAGCACCAGCAGTGCGGTGAAACGGGGCTCCGGCTCTACTAGTCTCTACTAGCACCAAATTTCCGATTAAGCTAATCGGAGGGCAGATTGGGAGAGATCTCGAGGAGTACACACAGATAGATCCTCCAACCATCGGGGAGTAGTAACACTCAATTTGGATTGCCCTCGAGGGGAGGAATTTCGGGGGCAACACGCTGATGACGAGCGATGTGGCCCTAATTGCAGAATCCGAGCAAGCTTGCCCCCCTCGACCGCAGCTCGCGTGGCAAGTCGCACGACAGATGCGTAGGCGGCTCGTCGCTCCAGGCCGACCCTGCGCCGAGCTTGAGCGCCAGCGTCGCACGCTCAGGCAGCCGACGACGGCGTTGGACCAACTGCACGAACGGCTCTCCGCCTGGCAGCGCAAAGTTCCATCTGCGCAGGATGGGCAGCGGCTCCCCGAGCGCCTCGAAAGACGAGTCGCTGGCGCCGCCACCAAAGCTGGAGGGCTGGCGAGCCCCTGCGGCCGTGGTGGCCGACGACGCTTGGTGCGAGATCAGCCGCAAAAGTCGGCCGTTCCACACGTCCGGGATGCCCGGCAGGCAGTAGTGCTGACAGTCCTGGTTGATGCCGAGCGCGCCCGCGCTTCGGCTGCGCAAGTGGCGCGGCGCAGTCGATGGGTGGGCATCCGCACGCCGCCGCGCAATGCCGTACGCGTCGAGGACTCGGAGGTACGGACGGGAGCGCTCCGCGGCGGCGGCGAGCAGGATGCCGTTCTGCGCCATCACCGCGTAGCGCATCGAGCTCAGCTGCATTCCCGTGCTTGCTGTGCCACCGCTGCTGGCGGAGGACCGCAGGCCGATGCCGGCGCTCTCCTCTGCCGCGAGCGCCGCTTCCGCCAGCGGCTTGGTGTTATCGCACCGCCCGCCACGCAGCGCCGTGCTGCCCTGGAAGTCGCGGGGCGGCGAGGTGCGCAGCACGACGAGGGCGCCGGCGCGCCCACGCTCGTCGCGCGCGAGCGGCGCATACACTCGCTCGACCGCCGCGAGCAGCAGCTGCCACTTGAGCGCGTAGCCGCCGAGGATCCACGGGCGCGTGCCGTTGCACAGCGAGTCGTGCGTCGAGTGCATGTCGTCGCACCCGTCCTCGTACTCCCACGCACCCATGTTCAGCACCAGCACGGTGGGCGTCCTCCGGATCAAGTCCAACACATGCCGCGGCACCGCCGGGTGCTGTTCAGCCGTGTGATGCGATCGAACACCAGGTGTCTATCTGAAGGATGAAGTTACTTCAGGAAGTAAGTATTCACTGCACTATAGCACGGGCTCGCACCCCCCAACCGCTTACTAGGAACCCCTCGCCTTATTGTTTGGCCCCCCCAGGCCACACACAGACCTCTAGACCGGTCACTGGGGCCGACAATTAGGGTTCAAACACGCCCGGGAGACAGCCCAAACACAGTTACTTCATAGTTACTTCTGCGGCATTCTGGCGCACATGTCGGCCGAGCGCGCGCCCCCTGCTGCCGGCAAACGGTCTCCTGAGAGCCCTCCTACACCCTTGCCACCCCCCCAGCCCAAGACATCATCGAGGTCTGGAATGTGCGCGCCGTCAGGCTGCTCGTCGTCGTCGGGCTCACCCGCAGCAGCAGGTGCAGCCGCCGCAGGAGCCTCCGCAGGCGAAGGCGCAGCGGCTGGGGCGGCTCTGCCGCCGCGCCGATGCGGCGGGAGGAGCTCGACACCGAGCTGGGGGCCGACCCGCACGAGGTCATCATCGGCGGTTCCATACTCCGCTTGCACGACCGGCGGCGGCAACGTGCTTGGGCCAGCTGCACCTGGGGCCGGCGCCCACTGCAGCCTTGTGGAAGCTGCTGCTGCGAGTAGTGCCGCCGCTGGGCCCGGCGCCGCCGCGGCGGCAGCGGGCTTCTTTCCCTTTGCACGCTTTGGGGGCATCTGACGCTCGACCCGACCCGGTCACGGTCGCAGTCAAAGCTGTCACGGGTCAGCGAGTCAACGACATGGTGACGACACGATCGAAGGCGAAGCATGAAGCCCCGCAAGGCGCTGCCGCGCCTCAAGGCGCGCCTCTGCCGCACGCGCTCACATCATGCACCGCGCGCCGCGAGCCGGGACGTGCCGTCCGTTTCAGTCCATCGCGCCATCGCCCGCCGACAACAGTTTGAGCATGATTATCTCCGGCATTGCTCCGTTTCTTTTTTCACGCCTTCACGCGGTGCAGGCGCCCCCGACTGTACTGAGCGCACCCCCCACCGTCCCCTGCCAGGCCCAAGCATGCCGCAGGCTCCGGTGAGGCCGCCTGGGGAGCGCAGGAGGTCCCTTCGCCTCCGCGACCAAGTGCACGATACGCCCGGCGTACACAAGTCCTAAGAACAAGCCCCGGCGGGCGCGGTGGAGCTCCTACACCGACTCCGACGGTGACCACCACTCCTCAGAGGAGTATTAGGGAGCGGGTCCGCTCCAGTCCAGGTCTGCCCTGTGTCTAGGGAGCTGTGGGCGGGGGCTAGGGGCCATTGCAGGCGCGGGGCGGGGATAGTTACTTCTCGAAGTAAGTAGTTACTTCAGGAAGTAACTCCTTCAGATAGACACAGGCCGAGCGGCGACGGAGTAGCCCTCGCTGCCGGCGCCGCCGTTCGCCTTCGCCTGTTTGCGCCTGTCCTTGCGCAGCGTGTCTGCCGCCCTCGTCATCTGCTCCCCCGCGTTGTCCCCGCCAGCGAACGTCCGCACTTCGCACTCGAAGTGACCGAACGGTACCGCCCTCGTCACTTTCGCCGAGCAGCCACGCATAGCCAAGGCACCGTTGGTGATGGTGGCGGCCGCACAGCCGGCACGCAGCATGCAGCACAGGGACACGGTCTGCTGTCTCAAGGTCGAGTCATCCAGGAAGGACACCGTTGCAGGTGCCGACTGCTTCTGGGACGCCACCGGCTGCCTGCCGGCGTGCAGCCGCACGACGCTGTCAATGAACTCGTGCGGGTCAAAGCCGTCGTCCTCGCTCCCGCGGGCCGCCTACCACGAGACTGCGCGCGCTGCCGCCGACCACTGCCGAGCAGGCCGCACCGCGGCGGTGCTGCGCTGGCCCCACACGTAGTGCAGCCAGCGGCGTGCCTCGCGCCGATGCTCGTTGACCGAGCACGAGCCGACCACCTTGGACTCGTCGTAGAGCGCCGTGCAGTTGAAGTAGCCCGCAGCTTCGAGCGCTGCGATGCGCTCGTCGTTCTGCCGTTTGTGCCACACCGGAAGCGGTGGCGGTGGCGGCGGCTAGACAAAACGGTGTACGCGTCGTGCCGCGATGCGCGCTCTGCCGGGGACGACGGCAGCCCAACCCCCGGCGACTCCAGGCAGACGGGTGCACCGCAGCCAGTCAGATGCAAGTCGTGCAATCTCCCGCTGACGCTCCAGCACACCCCGCTCTGCTGCGTCTTCTTCGGCGTCGTACAAGGAGCGGCGCCACCTTTGTCATCGACACACGCAAGCCGCAAGACACCCTTCGTGACGGGAGCCGGTACACACGCCCACTGGAAGTCCTCAGAGTTCGCGTACTTGTCCTCGATGGCTCGCATGTTGCGGGCGACCGACGCTGTGGGGCACCTGGCTGCGCACGCTGCATCCAGCCTTGCCTGCAGGCTCGTGCCCTGGCAGGCCCAGCGGCGGTGCTGCTTCCACAGAGTGATGGCAGAGTGTCCATGCCTGAACAGACCGTGCGGCGCGCCGTGCGTTCGGCCAATGCACGTTGCCCGCTCCTTGTCCCAAGTGACCGCGGCACACATGGGTTGTGCGAGGCATTCGGCAGCGCATGCTGCACGGCTGGAGTTGCCGCGAGAAGTTGCACCCCGCACCGAGGACGCTGTTGGTGCGCGCAATGGACCACCCGGGGAGTGCATCAAACTCACAGGCGTCGGGCGGCGCACAATGCGACATATAGGAGCGTGCGCGCGCGCGAACTTGCTACGAGTATCGTATCACGTAAGTTTGCAATTATTTTTCAAAAGCTAAATTTTACCGTTACGGACTTTTAGCTTTCTGGGAGAAAAGGGAGGCTTGTGTTCTCTAGGCCCCTAAGGGCCCTACGCGCGGCGTGAGTACTGGGAAATTGTACATACTTTTAGCTTACTGGCGGGGTAAAGGGAGAGAGAGGGAGGCGCGCTTTCTAATTGTAAAATTCTAATTGTACCTGTGTTAGTGCCAGTGCGCGCCAGTCCCGTGCCCAGTGTCGTGCGAGGGAGTTTTGTTGTAAATTTCTAATTGTACGTCTCCTAATTGTGTGTGGATCATAGGGTCGATTCCGCATGGTACTACGAGGTGTGGACCGTGAGTTGACCAGGGGTTGTGCGCCGGGCCCTCCTGCTCGGCTCCAGCGAGTAGACAAGTGTTACCATCAACAGAGGAGAAGGATCTGACCTCAGGGCTGATGTGACCAAGCGCTGGTAGCATGGTTTTACCTTGAGCACTTGAGCACCGGATAGGGTCGATTCCGCATGGTACGGGACCCCTCGATCGTCTCGCCCACCCTCACCGGTGTGTTCATTGGGGGGGGTCATAACAAACACGGTAGTTTGACCCGTTTTTTTGGCCATTTTCTCTTGCTGGCCGCTTGAACAACAGCAACAACAGTAACAGCACGGGCTGTGGTGAACACTTGAACAACGTTGAGGATTTCTGCAACTGTTAGGCCCCAAATTAACGTTAGGCACCCCATACCAGTGAGGGCGAGCCCATCGCTGTCACAGCTGTGGCAGCTGCACAGTAGGCTGTTGCCAACTATGCAGAGTGTGTGAGCAGCAGAGGAGCTGCTCTCCAGGCTTCAGGCGCAAAGAGCTGCATGCCACCGAAGGCGCTGTCGAGGTTCGCCGAGCTTGGCGAAATCCGGGGCCGCCGGCCACCGACGACGGCGCGTTGGACTTTTCACTCCCGTCCGGACAAAGACGGCTACACTGCGGCGAGGCGCGGGAACCGTCTGTGGCGAAGTGGGTCGCGTCCCCGGATTTCCTCAACTCACGGTCCACACCCTCTATACTTTACACCCGACGTAGAGCACGCAAATATCTCGCAAAAACCGCCTCGCGAAACTGCACTCCAAGTGCTCCCAAGTCGCAAGTGCGCCGTGTGCAGCTGCAGGCGCAGCCCGCACGCCGCCGGCCGCCGGGCCCCCGCGCCGCGGACGATACCGCAAAAAAACTCGGCCAGAGACCGGTCGAGGAGCGTCAGGGAACACAGGAAGAGTGGAGAGGGCTCGAAGGCGCACGATTTCGATTTATTAGATCTACGTAAAAGTGCTGTTCATTTTCCCTTTTGCAACGCCTGGATCTGCTCCTTGACGGTGTTCTGCTCGTCGTTCTTGGCCTTCAGGCTCCGCTCGATCCTCGTCGCGTCCGCCTTGATGTACTCGATCCGCTTGTTCACCTGCGCCGGGAGGAGACCGCTTGTTCACCTGCGCCGGGTCCTCACCCTTGCCCCCTTGCAAGCCACTGTGTGTGGAGAAACCTACCTGCCTACCTGCCAAGCCTTCGTGGGGCGGCGGGGTGGCGGCGGCAGAGACGGCGTGGGAGGGCGGCGGGCGGCGGCGCACGTTCGACTTGACCTCGACAAGCTCCTGCTTGACTAGCACCGGCCCGATGAGCTTGAACACCTGCGCGTCCTCCTCCAACAGCTCGAGCTCCTTGAGCACCTGGGAGGCGGACGGTGATGGTGGTGGCAGAGGCGGCGAGGTGGAGGCGCGAGGGCGGAGGGCGGCGGCGGCCGTAAGTGCGGCGGTTGAGATGAGGGCGGCGGCGATAGCGGCGGCGGCGGCATCGGTGGCGCGGGCCGTAAGCCCGGACGGTGGCGAAGGAGAGGGCGGCGGCACGGCAGGCAGCGCGGCCGGCGGCGCGACACGGCAGCCGCGGCTTGCGCGGCGAGCAGACCACGGGCCGCGGGCGGCGGGCGGCGAGAGGGCCGCTGCTGCATCGGCGCAAATGCGAGAGGCGGCCCCGTGTGTACAGCCTCCACGGCGCACCAGCTCATTCTCGCAGACCTGGGTCGTCGCCTGCGACGCGCCCGTCTGCAGCTTGGTGATCTCTCCCTGGATGGTGCGGTACTTTGCGAGGAGCGGCTCAAGCGGGTTAACGGCACCACCGCGAGTTCCTGCCATGCGGCGTTGCAGGGTTCGGACTTTTGCGGCGTAAGGGGTGCCCCGCGCTTTGTGTCTTGTGAGCCTGTTTGTGTCTGTGTGCCGCTCGTGCGTGTCGTCATCATCTGTCCAGCGTCCACCCATACCGCGTTGGTGTCCAGTCCGAGCCTGGCTGTTCTTCACCTTCCTACATACATGCCCGCGTGTAACCTAACCCAACCTAGCGTGTGTGTGTGGTCCCCCGCCTGCTGGCAGACCTGCTTGGGGGTATGGTAGGGCTAGTCTTGGGCGGTCAAGACCATACCCCCCCCCCACCCCTTTGCGCTTTGGGCCGTGAGGGTACACGATACCATACCCCGCAAAAAGTTGGAACCCAGGCCGGCTGTGCGGCTCGCCCCAAGGCCCGGGAGGGGGTATGGCTCACCGTGTAGACTGTAGTCGGCCGGACGAAAAGAATTCTTCCGGCCACCGCCAAGCCCTGATACATGAAATAGCTCTCGTCTCGCGGTACCACTCGGCGGCGGGCGCCGGTGCGCGGTACAACTACAAGTCACAAGATAACACACGCGGCGGGACGCAATCACAAGCGCCACTTCAGATGCGCCCCTCCGACGCCGCGCCGCTCAGTGCGGCTGCGGGCGGCCAAACTCTCGCGCAATCATCGCGAGGCCGAGTGCGAACTCCTCGTGAGACACCTAAGGTAAGGTACACGTCTCCACGCACACAAGGGCGGGGCAAGGCCAAGGGCCCAGCGACCCACCGACCCTCGCGACTCCACGTCTATCGAAAGGCAGGAGCCCCATGGCATAAGGTGCAGGCTCAGTGCACGTGGCGGAGGTGTGTGTGTGTGTGTGTGTGTGTGTGTGTGTGTGTGTGTGTGTGTGTGTGTGTGTGTGTGTGTGTGTGTGTGTGTGTGTGTGTGTGTGTGTGTGTGCGTGCGTGCGTGCGTGCATGTGTGTGACACCTCGTCGGCCTCGCCGCCGCTGCCCACCTCACCGTCGGCGCCGCCTCGCTGCCGCTTGATCGCGCGCTCGGCGTACGCCTGCGGGGCGATGCGACAAGGTGACGGGGCGCGAGGCGATTGCGACGCGCTGGAGACAAAGAGGCGCCAGACGCGGGTGGTGTTGGTGGTTGGGGGGGGGGGGGGGGGGGGGGGCCCCCCAAAGCCCAATTTGCAAATTCCGGGTTGGGGGGGTTCCCCCCCC